ATGGTGGTGAACAAAGTTGGCTTCTGGTTAATGGCTGTTTTTCTGTCAGGACTTGTTTAATATGGCAGTCATGCTATGAAAGCATCTACAACTTTCTCTCAGCATTCAAATGTGTTCACCATTCCAAAAAGTCCCTACATTTGCTTAGAATTTTAACTTCAATTATTTTCACCTGATGCTATTAATTTTCATCCCTTATAATCTTCTGTCTTATTTATGTATTTTTAAATGATGGTATCTGCTTTGTAAGAAGTGAAAATCCAGGAGAAATGCCCCATTCTTCCCCAACTGATGTTTTGTGATGGATGAAAAGCAGAGTGTACAAACCCAACATTTTAATCAGGTTCATTTCACCTCAGCTATAAAATCTGAGTGTAAATCCTCCAGAAACTTTAGAATGCATTTCTGCCAAAGATTTCTACAGAAGCAAAATATGGAAATGTGCAGGGGTATAATTCGTAACATTCATACACACACATACAGACACATACTAATGGAAGCAAGCATAACTTTAAAAAATATGATAAATAAATCTCAAAGGGCTGTTGAATGCAGATAAACAGAAGGAAGCCCTATGTATGCCTCCTTAAGCTCCAGTACAAAAGGTGGAATATAAATCTAATGAATAAATGAAGCTTGCCTGAAACAATATAAACAAATGAGATCAAATCTCACTATCTATTTCAGATAATAAATAATTATTTATTTGAATTATTCATATTTTACCTTTCTATCAAGTTATTGTTGAGGTTCTCTTCCTCAGTAAATTTTTTGAATATTTCAAATTGCAATTTTCAAAAGACCAAACATAGAATTAATATATGCAACAATATTGCTAAATCCAGTAATACAGATTATTTAATGCTATAATAAGGCAACATTATAATATAAATATATACAGGTAATCCTCGACTTACGACCACAATTGAGCCTAAAATTTTTGTTGTTAAGTGAGACATTTGTTGAGTTTTGGCCCATTTTAAGACCTTTCTTGTCACAGTTGTTAAGTGAACCATTGCAGCTCATAAGTTAGTAACCCAGTTATTAAGTGAATCTTTTCTCCATATATGCTAATATTCATGAGTCTGGCAACTAAACATCTTTTTTTACAACTTTTCTGCAATTGTGTAACTTCAAATTTCTGTATCTCTCCTGATCTTTTACCAGGTTCCTCAACTGTATGTGCCAAACTATTGTTTACTGTTAACGTTTATCTTGGTATGCAAACTTGATCCAATACAATATCCTAGTGCTATATTTCAGCATTTTAGGCAAGGATACTTCCAGATAGAAAGCCCTAATATTACCAGGGAAAAGGCACCTTATAGCCCTTCCATATTTTCCTCTTTAGCAGATTTTCCCAATTTAAAAATAGATAGGAAAAAAATGGTTGAATGGTTCTTATGAATTGCTTAACTGGACTGTAAGGAAGGTTAAAAGGTAATTTAACAATGGGGTTGTATGAGGTTAAACTATGCTCCCTTTAATCGACTATGCTATATCAATGAAGATAAAAGAGTTAACTACTGTCAGCACAGAAATGAAGTCTAAAATGGGTTCCAAAACTAGGATTAGTCTTTTACTTTTTCCCCTTCCCTTGAGTATGTGATGGGGAGGATACAAAATAGAGAAAGAAAGCTTTCTTTAAAGTCAGTACTTCCCAAACTTTTTCCTCCATTACCCAAAAACACTTATTAGAAAATCTTTTTTACTGCTTATCGCAGACATGTCAAACTCGCGACATCACGTGACGTCGTGCAACGTATCGGGACAGTTTTGCCATTGCCGGCAGTGGGGTGGGCACGGCTTCCGCATGATGCATCCGGATATGACTGGGTAATGAGTATGTGTATCATTACAGAAAGAAAAAAGAACACTTTTATCCATTTTGCAGTACTTTTGGGAAACACTTTTTGAAGTGGTGCCAGTAGATCATTGCCATTTTTCAAAACAAAACAGCAGGAAGAGATAGTGTGTCAAACATAGTCACTTCCTGCTTAACTGTTACATCCCAAATAGTGGGACACTGGTACAGAGTATGTCCTTATACTTGGATATTGATAGAATATATCAGCTATATTGTCCAAGCATAGCCAGTGGGTTCTCTGAATCCCAGTTGTATTCCAAGTTGGCTTTATTTTATAAAATCACAATGATTATTATTTGTAATGTATTTTGAAAGAGGGAATTCTGTTAGATTCTTTGAATATTTTGGATCCTTTCCATTATTTATTATGAAAATTTCGATTTTTATTTAGATATCTGTTTCTTTTTTCTCTCTCCCTCTCTTCCATAACTTGCTGGGATAATATATTCCAACAGTTTTCGTAAACTGTATCTCTGAAATGTAATTTCAGAAAGGGGTATTACTTAATCATTAGCCACAACAATTAAAAAAAACATTTTATTTTAAAGGGAATCATTACACCCATAATAACATATTGGTTCTATGATTCCACACTAAAAATATTGTAAATGAGGCTTAAGCTTCTGTGGCAAAGACAAAAAATGTTCCAAATAGCTGACTAGTTCAGTCACTTATCAAGGAAAAGAGTTCTTCAAATCAAATATTAAAGAACAACATGTTGTATGTTGAAAAGTATGTCTATGCAGATTTAGAAGCTACAGTGTAAAACATACAACGATATATTTAATAACAATATTATAAGATCTACAAATGTAACTGCGTACCTTTTGGGCCAACTTCAAAATATGTCACTGTATACATTTTGTCTACATTTATTATATTTGGTTTTATAGAGGGTGAAATAGAACAATATCTATATACATACATAAATGCATAATAGGTTATGATCCAAGAGAATGAAATACTTTTTCAAACTAAAAGCAACATTAAAAAAATAAAATCATATACTTGTGTATTCTGCCAGCTTGAAAAATATAATCATGCTGATTAAAAGGACATTTGTTTTACTAGATACAGCCATCTTATAATTCTAATAGCAGAAATAAAGTATTGAAAATATGCTGCTAGTTTATTTAATTGCCATACAATATGGAATTTCCAATGTGGCAGTGCCCCAAAAATTCATTAAGTGAATTTTAGTACAAGATAAAATCTCCACCTTTGCTTCACTACTCTACTCTTATAATGGTCTGAGCTTCAAGAAAGAAATTATGGTGCACTATTATGTAAAGCTGAATTTCACATTCATATTTATATTGTGTACCGTAATGTCCAAAGTGTTCAATATCCATATATCAAAACAGAACTATGCAAACTTCCCATGTCCTTTCTTTGGAAAAATGTTGAAAGGAGAAATGAAATGAAAGTACATCAAACTGTTTTCACATAAACACTTAAAACCTTTCCTATCTGACAACTCTGCTCCACATTGGTCTCTTTGTTTCCCTCTCATGTTCAGACAATACTTCTCAGCTTCTACCATTACCAAGCGAAAGGTACTGTAGAACTCTTCATCATTCCCGTTTACAAATTTTTTTGGAGGAAAGAACAAAATGAAAAAAGGATGGGAAAAAATGCAGGAAGATTATAAAAAGAAGACAATAATATCTGGCTCATTTTAATTATTGCATTCATATATTTGAAACTCTAGCAGATTAAAAAGAAAACAATCTCCCCAGAGTTACTTTTCTTAGGAAAGCAGCTATTATATATTATATTATGTATAATGTAACCACAGGACTCAAAATATTTCATGTTACTATTACATTATTATATACACTGCTGTCTTCCCAATGGAAGATAATAATAAAACAATTGTATAATTTTTACGGGAAATATATAAAACATTCAATCATGACAAAAAGTTCCCAAGGCCAAATTAAATTCCAAAATCAGCAAACTCAGAGACTCATGATACTAAAATGAGAGGATTTCATCCATTAATTTGTTTTTCTAATTTTCAGGTTCTGTGGAAGTAATTCACAAATGAGTATATAAGTATTATGGTGCTTAAATTCACCATATTGGTAATACCGTCTGAAGACTAACAAATATGGTTCTCATTATTGTCTATGTGGCAAACAATGTTACTGGCTCCCCAAAATGCTCCATAATTAAAAGGTACTGCTGAAAAAGTAGTCACAAAAATTTATAGTTCATGCATTCTTGCGATATTTTAAAAATCCAAAGTTAAATATGCTTCTGTGCATAGTCAGAACTAGAAGTTGAAATAAATTATAGGGATGTAATTTTCCTGCTTGTTTGTTTGCTTCTATCTCAAATATACCCATGCAGCCTGCTTTTCATCAAGCAGAAAAAAGCAGACATTTTGTCTTTAAGGGAAAAGGTGATTTGAACTTTAATGAACCAGGGGGAGACATATTAGGTACTATTAAATCTAAACAACATTATTGGCTTCCCTAGACAAAAATAACTATACATAATGTGGTGAATAATAATCTAGTTTGAATTTTGGGAAGTAAATGGCCATAATGTTTTTGTTAAAATTTATTCATTTGGAAGGAAATTATTACAAAATTAATAGATTAATAGATTGCAAACAACAAAAATTCAAATATATGCACTAAATAGATAATGGTAAGGTCACCAGCGTCTGATTCTCTAGCTTTATTAAGAATTTAACAGATTAAGTTCAAAAAGATATTTCTGGGATCATTGTTTTTCTATACGTTTCTAAAGGGAGATGAAAGAAAGAAATCTAAACAATCTCTTCCATCTTTTCTCAATCATTTTGATCCAGTTTCTACAGCATAAAAATACAAGTTTTATATAAAAAAATAAAAGGACAGAAGGCACTATATCATCATAGTCTTGTGAAATGTTATACAATGGTTGGGGTTTTTTTAATGCATTGTTCCAATTTTGCAAGATGGAGTAGGGAAATGGAATAAAATTGTTGAGAAGTGTCTTCTTCCTTTATTTTCCATTTGTTCCATGTCATTTAAAGTGAAAACCAGATGACAGAGATTATCTTTTTGAGGTGATTTTTAAAAAGCCTTTTTTAAACAGAAAAATGGAATAAAATGCTTGTTAAATAAATAAAATATGATACCTGGGTGCGATTGAAAGCCACTCTTGCAAAGACCGCCTGGGAGACACTTGCCCTCTTCAGCTCATCCCTGACTTGCTGATAGATATCTGGAGAGACTTCCACTGATGAGTTTGTTGGTTCTGGTTTGATTGTTCTAGGGATAGGTGGATGATTTAGAAACTGTTGATTAATTGCCTGTGGGTGCTGATGAGCCAGGAGTCGACTTACTGCAATCTGTTGGTTTATCAAATGGGCCATTGCTATTTGCTGCCTTACTAGTTGTGGACTGAGCTGAGGTGTAAGGAGACCAGGGCTCATGATTGGTTGTAACGTTGGCACTTGGTTTCTGATTGGAGTACTGTGGTGAATTTGACCATGAGGAGATTGTTCATTTGTTTTGCCCAAAGTTGCCAGTTGGTTGATATTCGGTAAGTGCATGGGACGTTGACCAAGAACACAATATTCTGACAGGTTGTCTCTTTCAACTCGTTCCACTGTTAAAATAAATTAAGTAATAAAAATATACCATTACTTTAATTTGAAATGACATCACGGATTACAAATGAACAGAGTTGCATTAACCTGTTTTTTCTTTAATGCAAACCCTATATTAACACAGTATTCTACACTAAATTAACCTAATAATGTTTATCCTTTATAAATCTGACATGTAGTAAGGATTACATGAATTTTAAGAACCCAAGTTGATTACATTGGGTCAGCCTTCCAATGAAGCATCAATTAATTGTGCTAATATTTTATTGTTGCACTAGTAAACTCAAAGATTAAGTCCCCAAATATTTACCTTCAACTAGGATTTATTTTATTTATTCATTCATTCATAAATATGTACATTTATATCCTGCAGTTTCTCCACAAGTTCCAAGTAGCATAGCAATTCTATTTCCAATCTTGGGAGTCAGGTTTGATTGAGAAAAATGACTGGTTCAAAGTCTTCTATTACTGACAGAGGATTTGAAGCTGGGTTTGCCCAGTTCTACTCTAATATTTTAACTACTGATATATTGCTTATAAATCTCCAATACTTTCTGATTGGAAGTATCTTATTTCATTGTGCAGAAACAATCAAAATATTATATTGTATAATTTATATACTCGTTTGCATACGCAGGGACCTTTAGTTTTTCCATTCCATAAACTCATTTGTGTGTGTGTGTGTGTGTGTGTGTGTGTGTAACTATATGCAGAAAAAAAATACACGGCTGATACTGTCTTGCCTTTTTATTTGTTGTTGTTTATAATATCATCAATTCCCATATCATGTCTTTGTAAACACTTGAAACACTTGAAATCACTGGTATTCTTTCTCCCATGACATATGTGCAGCCAAATCACTGCTGTATAAACACTATGTCCCTTCAGCAGACCACAGGGTCAAATTCATACCCCCAAATGAGTTATGGGATATACACCCTATTTTTTTTTCAGAACTCCAATGCACATTCACTACTTCAGTATAAGTTCAACTACTGTTTTTAACTGTAAACCACTCAGAGTATTAAGGAGTCAGGCAGACTCAAAATCAAATAAAAAAATTAAAAAATAAACGTTATAAGAGATTCTCTTAAATAACCCCTTGTTCACATATACCATTCCTAAGCAGTTCCGTAAATCTTCAAAGAATTGTGGATATTCAGTTTTGAAATATTTATCAAGTATCAATAAAATACTATAGAATATTTAAAATACTTTGTCTTCTTTCAACAGCAAATTCGGGAAGCAAACATTTGCATCTATTTATAAATTTTAACCCATTTAAACTTTACATTTATTTTGTTTCATTTTTGCTTTGCATAGCCTGGTCAACTCAAAATGGGTTATAACAGGACAAAACAATAAACTATGGCTCTTCTTCCCTTCTCCCCCACCACCAATATATTCTTATTTAAAAAAATAATAAGTACCTATTCAAGTGATAATGAAAACCTAACATTTTGAAAAATCCTAAATAAATGTGGTGTTATTGCCAAACTTCTATACAGACTCAACTTCTGATATTGTCTATATAATCCTATAAAAATAACATTAATATTGTCATCGCTAAACAATACTGAATAGCAGTAACAGGAAAAGCAAATATACATTACATGTTGTATACCTGTAGCTAGTTTTCATGACATGAGAAAAACAAAAGTATAATACCATTACTAGCCTCTAGGAGGAAGTAGATAAAGATACACAGTATAATTTATTTCATTTATTATTAAATTTATATGCTGCCCCTCTCACTGTCAAGCGACTCTCTAATTACCAGTCTTGACTTCCTAGAACTATTCTAGAGCATGGGAGGTGCTTTTCATGTGGGTAATTCATTTAAAAACTATGATTATCTTAATTACTTATTTCTTTTCATCAAAACCCACTTAACCCAATTATGAGCAAAGAGGTAATTTCAGAAATCTCATTTCCAGTCAACACTTAACTTCATGTTTACCCCAACCATCTATCAGTGTTATTTACTGTCTGGTCTCTGACCAGGAAAACTATTTGCACATCTGCGATTTGTGTGCCCAAAAAGGCAGTTCCACTATAGTATTTGGCAGTCATGAAATGCTTCCTAAAATGATTTCCTGCAAATACACTGAAAATCTATTTTCAAAATAGTACACATCAGTCAACTAATTTTCCAGTAAATCTTATTACCTAGCACAAATATGAAGATCGCTATACCTTCTATACAACTTCTGTTAACTTTTCACATTAGTGCATTAATATGAAATCACTTCAGAAAGTAGTTGTAAATTTTTAAGAACCCAAGATCAAGTCTTGAATCACATCCAAGACTCAACCTAATCCAGCATTCTATATCAAAAATGGCCAAGTTTACAGAATATGAACATAACAGCCACCCCCTAATGGGAACTCAAGAACCGATTGCGATGACAAATAGAGTTGCCTAGTAAAACATTGATCGCCAATAATTCAGGATTACAATTATTTTCTAAAGCCTATTGATATTGCTATGGAGAACCAGTTTGGTGTAGTGGTTAAGGCACCAGGCTAGGATCCAGGAGACCATGAGTTCTAGTTCTCCCTTAGGCATATAATCAATTGAGTGACCTTGGGGACTCAGTCACTCTCTCTCACACCCCTAGGAAGTAAGCAGAACTGGCAAACCAGTTAAGAAATCTGGCCAAGAAAACTGCAAGGAACTGTCCTGACTTGAAAACAAATAAATACCACCATCAGAGGAGGAAAAATTACTTGTAGACAGTGGGAAAAAAACAAGTTCTTCAGCAATGAAGTATTTTTATTAAAGGATTCTAGAAATGATAGGTACTGTATACTAACATTCTTAGTCATTTTATTAAGCTATCCACTAAATTTGCATCTTGTGCAAACGTCCCTGGAAGCAAGTCTTATTGCATTGTCTTTTGAAAGAAATACTGGCAGAATTCATTTTCCTTTCTTTTTCACATACCCCAAAGGAATGTATAGCAGAAGTTCCATTTCACAGTGTTGAATACAGCCTACTGTATAGAATTTTATAAACAGATCACAATTAGAACTATTGGGACTATCAGATCTTTGCTTCAAAAATCCAGATAACCACTAAATAGGACCAGTGACAGGAAAAGTTCTTTGCTGCTATCTAGTAGTCATCTGGCTTTTTACAGCCCGTACCAATTAAGTCCTTATTATTATATGCAATGGACCTCATTTACATAAGCTTTCAAAATTTATAAAATACAGAAAGAGAAAAATGATGCTGTTTGAAATTTCAGAAGGAGTTGCTTACAGACTTGGATTATGTGTGGATGATCACAATGAAATATGCTTTATGTTAGTTGTGAGCATAATAAAGTTTTGATATAGTGTCATCCTTCACTGAAAATATTTTCTATAAAATTAATATATATTTTACATGTTGAAAAAGCTCTTATATTGTTATATTGTTTTTATTCTTTTCTTTCATTGGTTTTTTTCACTTTGTTCTGTTTTACTAAACAAAGGCAAAACAAAGGATACAAAAAGTGGCACAAATATTTTAGATACTATATATAATAAAACAATTATTGTTGTACAGCACCCAAAGTTACTTTCCATGAGATGGAAAGCCATATAATTTGTTTAATAAATAAATTATAGAAGACATCAATATGATATGAACTGATAACATATAAACTTTTCACCATCCACCCCTAGCCACTTGAGTGCCTCTCAAGTTAATTAAAATATTATTGTGAATATATCTCAATGATATACTAAATTTGATCAGCTACATTTTAAAATAAAGCAATATTTTGCTGAATTTCATGTATCCATGGTAGCAAAAAATTATGGCACACCTCATACAAGCAATTTACAGAACACATATTGATGGATCTGTATTGATTTCATCCCTCAAAATGCATTCAATTGGTTTGTGGTTGTCAAGTGCAAACAACCAGACCTACACATGGAGAGCTCAAAGTAACTATTTTATTATGCTCCGCCTATAATACAGGAATCACCCCAGTCTCGCAGCCTACTTTTAGCAACAATTAGATAAATCTCCAAGGAAATCGGGAGGGGGGAGATCAGTCCTAGCCCTTTTGTGGTTGCACAGTGACTCCAGGCTAATTCTGTGCTTGATCCCTCCTCCCTGCCAGGCTGGGTGCTTCCCAACAATGGTAAAATTGATCAGTGTTATGAAAGCCTACATGAGTAAGACTGCATATTTAATTTTTTCTATATACACTCCTCTGCCTTGCATACGGTGCAAACAGCATAAGAATTTCACTGCTATTATTCTTACTATGTTTATTATTTGTAATTGTTGTAATCATAATTATTATTACAAATTTCTATGAATTGCTAAGATAAATCTTTATTATAAATGTACAATATAAAATTTCAAATGTAAATTATGAAAGGGCAAAGGAAAGTAAAACGATAGGACAGTTACAGCTGAAAACAGTTCCTAGTTTTCAGGAAGGGAGCAAATAATTCCAAAAATGATACAGTATATATGATTTTTTTCTAGTATCAGTTTTAATGGACTGCAATCAATTTTCAGAAGTTTGTATGTTAATAAATGTGGATCTCACCAATACAAAATGCAAGCCTGGTTGATATAAAAACATAAGTTGATATGAGCTAAGCATAATAGCAATGTTGAATATGTAATGGATTCCACAACTATAACCTGAGCATGTTTATTTCAACTGCTCTTTGCGTATAACTTTTACATCTGTTGCTAATGATATCAAATTATTGATTGTTCAGTTTCTCATATTTGTTTAAACATTAAATATATGTTCTGCAACCTAATGCTTTTTTTCTTTCAGAAAGTTTTTAAAATTTTTGCTATGCATTAGTCATATTTACTTTGATCTTTCTGTATGTATAATTATTTTACTGTTTGTTTAGTTCAACAGAATAGGAGGGGAAAGGATTGACCAAAGAGATCTGTATGTGGCAACTTGTAACAGAATCTCATAGCTTATGTTTAGGAAATCATGGTTTTGATTAAGAAGGAACCAGTTAGTTCCCACTGCTTTATTAAAAGAGACATTAGTGGATAAATCAGAAACACATTTCACAGAGCAGATTATGTTCAACTGAAATGCCAATAAAATGATTTTGAAGCTCTTCATCATTTTCCATTTGCAATATTAAATTAGAATAGCTTTTTTACAATTAGTTTAATGTAACAAAAAATTAAGATGTATGTGTACAACAGTGGTTGTTTCAACTGGATTGACCTTGAATGATGGCTGATCTTGCTGACCAGATTCATAGTAACTCAACCTTTATTTTTAAATTCACACGAATATTCTAGTTTCTGAAATTGAACCTTTCATTTTACATATAAAGTAAATTCTCATTTATAAAAACTATATGACAGAAATTGAGATAATATGAAAGCGAAATATAACAAAAGCTCTTTCTGATGATGATGATAAAGTTTGGTTCTGTTTATTTTTCAATAAATATACCTTTAGTATTTTTTTCATTGCTGTTCTCCTCCCATTTGTTGTAGCTGAAGAATCAACACTATTTGAACCATGTTAAAGCAGCTTGTGTTTATTTTACACAGACTGTAACCTTTCATTCTGCCTCATGCTACATATACATGCACACACATTTCCAATGAGTTTTAAACTCAAATTCTTGTTAGCAGCATGCACACAGTTATCCAGAAAACTCTTTGGGCTTAGATCCTTGACCTCTTAATTGAAATCAAGATCTTATTCTGCTCTTCTATATTTAACAATTAACTCTACACTTACTTTAAAAAATGGTGAGGGGCAGGAGAACAAGAAAAGCTTTAAAATTGAATGAAGAAAGGAAGTAGAAGCCCATAATATGATAGAAATATTTGGTGATTGCAATGGCAATTCTGTGACTACAGGAAGAGCTTTTTAATGTTTGAAGGTGCTTTTAAACCACAGCCCAATCTAGTAAGAACATTCTCCCTTTTTGTCTTACAACAAGTAATGATCATCTATAAACGGCCTTGAAGCTATTTAACTCCTTTGATTATATTTTCACTGTGCATATATAAAAACACTTTTGAAATATTCCCTTATTTACCTTGAGATATAATACTTATAAAAATTGTTGAAGATCATACAGAAACTGCTTCAACCAAAGTAGATCTTTGTATCTGGAAAAATATTGATGATACTGTATATAAACTAGTCTTTGTAAACACCTCTTGATCATTTTAGAATAACAAATTTCAAGTATTCATGATCTGTTAAAAAGTTTGGCATTGAATGATAATTAAAATCAATTTACCTTTAATCTTCTTGTACTTTTTATACCATCTTCCAAATTCCTGGCACTTAGTAGCTGACACATTTGCATAATATGTGCTATTTACAATGGATGATATCATACTCTGAAACCAGAAAAAGGAGAAATAAATAAGTTCTAAACAGAAAATAATCAAAATTCTTCCAAAAGAAAGTAATGTAGTTGAAAATGTATAATTCATTCATTCTTAAGTGACAAAACAAACTTTAAAAATGTATTCATGTACAAAAACTATTGTATAGATCCTAAGACTAGCTTCATCTTACCTTTTATATAACTGGAGAAATTTGCTTTTCCTACTAATTTTGTGTCAAATCCATATGACTCCAGTTTATCCCAGTTGTCACTTTAATTTATACTGGGTATTATCAAAAGAATCCTTATACTTCAAGTACATTAGAAGCTGTGTCACATTGGGAATATAAAGGGTGAGAAGAACTGTGATTTAAGAACCGGATCCTAAAGGTAAGATTAGATACTCCAGCATGTATAATCCAAATAATGGTTTTCAGATGTTTCTATTCTGCTTCCAACTGCAACAGGGACCACACAGCCAGGAATCTGGGAATATTTGTGCTACTTGCTACAGAACAATAGCTACGCAACTATATTAAATAAATAATATTTATAGAAATATGTCTTTAATCCTTTTGTGAAAATTCATATAGGAAATAAATTGCTATACTATTCAAAGCAGAAGAAACTAAAAATATCACATGTCAAATTAAGCATGTCTATCTAAAAACTTGTATTTAAAGGTTGTACTTTTATTTTTAACCCTTGAAAATAGACATTAGTGGCCAAATCTTTTTTATCACCTAGCACATAGTTTGAATTAAATTGCACAAGATATGCTATGATAAATTTAGCTCTTCTTTTTGCTGCTGCGCTCTGATTCAAAGTATTTTTGTAATTAATTATACTATTCCTTACTCCTTATGGAGCTTAATTTCAGAAGGTAACGTATGCATTTTGGAGTAGGAAAGAGCATGCTCAAAAAGGTTAACAAAACAAGTGGTTTTAAAGAGTATCATATAAATATATTATGAAAGTTCTGCAAATGCAGAACTGCAAAAAGCATCTGGGGAAGGGAAATCCCCAACAGTTCTTGCTTCTTTGCTTGTAGTAATTTTTATTCATTTTAATTAAATTTCACAAATCAAGAGAAATAACAGTTCGGGGGTTATTTTGATTTGATTATTTATATGATATATTCTATATTGTTTCAAGTAAGCTTAACTAATACAAGAGCATAAAAAGAAATGCCTAACTTCTGTTTTCATGTACCATGGTCCTGATTCAAGTATTCATTTGTAAAAAAAAAAAAAAAAGGTATTGAGATTTTCAACAACTTCTCATTTATTTACCCTTAGAGCGTGTTGCGATGGCACCTTTTAAAAGTTTTTTTTTTTTATTAAAAATGGGTTTTCTCCAGACTTAACATAGGAGATGATCAGGGTTCAAGCGCATCATCAGACTCTTCTGTCCCATCAGTCCCTTCGCGCCCACAAGAGATCTAAGTCCAGTCCACCTTGAATTCCATTGACTCTTATCTACTGCCAATTTGCTTTAACCATTAGTAGTTCAGATTCTTGTAGAGGGCTAAGCTTGCAATTTATATTCATTTGAACTGCCTGGATTTCTTGGTTTTCTTAATGCTCAATCTAATGCTTAGATTCAGTACAACTGTGAACATTCTCTCTTAAAAAAAATGTACAGGATGGGGAAAAAAATCTTTACTTCATCCTGTATATTACCATCTTCCAAGGAACATTTCTACAGCCATGGAATGCTTTAAGATCACAACAATTTAGTTTATTGTTTCTTTGGCTCTCTACCCTGAAATTTTGATTCAAGATTCCAAAAATCAAAATACTGTAACATAATTGTTGCACATTTAGCCTGGGAATCAAACCTATCTAGAATTAAAAATAAGACTTTATGCATAGCAGAGAATATAAATGGAAAAATATTCAGTTTATAACGAATGTTTATAACTGGTGGTAAAATGTCCTATATCATTTCTAAACTATGTCAAATTTAAGATTTCCCAGCAATAACATGAGGTAGGTTTTTCTAAAACTGTGACATGTTCACAAACTCATCCAAGCTTGTATAATAAATATAGACATGGGGGGAGGTGGAATTGTGCCTGCTAACCCTGTTACTTATGGTACACACATTAACAGGATTTGGAGAAAAAGGGAGTGAAAGAGAGAAAGTGTGCAAAGCTGAAGAAAGAAAGTATAATTACATTCCTTGAAAGGACAGTATGTATTTGATGGAGCAATCAAAAAGTACCCCTTCTAAACTGTTGTTAGAACTTGACTGAAAAATATACTGTATTTTATATACCTTTTTTCAGGCATTCATTTTGCACTTTAGCCCTCCTCCCATAAATAAAAGACAATATGGACCAACTGAGGATATTCAAGATTTTAAGGATTGCCATGTCTCTCTTAAGCTTCTGCCAGGCTTAATGGACCCATTCCACCCCTTCAGTTCCTCCAAACCACAAATTAACACAAAAAAAACCCCCTTACATTCAAAAGTGCAGCCAGCATGGGAGAGTGCTGACTCTTGCCACACAGTTTACAAGTTGCTAAACCCTAACTAGACCAAAAGCACGGAACTTAAGTCTTATCCAGGGATGGCTGAACTACAATTCCCAACAGGCCTAGAGACATGGACATCGATGAGAAATAATGATAGTTGTACTTCAATAGTATCTAGACAAATACATGTTCTCCACTCCTAACTTAAATTAAGGTTTAGGAGATGGGAGATGCTCTAGCAAGTTGGAGTTCATTTCCCACTTTCCTCTTATTTATTCATATACAGGTATGAGGAGAGAGAAAGTGCTGATTTTCATTTTCGAATAAACTGTAGTTCTGCCTTTATTAAATGACAACAAAATGTAATAAATCTGTACCAAACTTTGGATTCATTATTCCAATTTGTTAATTTAACAAATCCAAGCCTTTGATACATATGGCAAGAGGAACTAAAGTTTTAAATGAAAAGGAAAACTATCCGTCCCTTCCTTTGCTCCTCTGGAAAACAAATCAGAGCATAAGTAAAATAGGATTATGCAATTCTATGTCTCATTGTTCATGGTCATCTGAACAATGTTTATAAAATCAACAAAAGCTTGCTAATAACAGGTTTCAAACATGTAGTGTTAATATATGAATTATGCTGGTAAGTTTGTTTAGTGATGACTGAAATCATTACTAATACTAAACCAAAGTAGACAATACATGGTTTGATGCGTGAAAACCTGACTCATCAGACTTGCAATAAATATTTTTTTAAAAAACTTTTAACTGACAAGCACTTTATTAGTTTTAGTTTCATAAATTTCATTCCTGAAACTTTAAATAAGAATCCTGCTAATTTGCCCATACCTTCGACTGGAAGTCTGCCTAACTGGAGTAAAGTGGAAAAGTAGGCCCTCCTATGATAAAAACAATTATTTTCATTATTTATTGGTAAGCTAAAATGACTATAATGTTTGACTACAAGGTTAGCATTGTCCACTATAACCTCATTATATAACTATCATTATCTCACCGATTTCTACACTCAGTTGTTTCCAATTTATTCTCCACTGTCAAGACTTAATCATTTCAGAGTGAACTTGAAATACAACATAACAACAGTGCTATAAATATTTGTTAGCCTATCTTCCTCTTTTCCCAGATGCAGCAGGTGATATATAGCTTTAATAGTAAAATGAGTATAATAGAGTAACCAATCTTTTCATTCCAATTTGCTTGATCTATGACCCAGTAACTACAATCTGATTGACTTCCAAAGTAGAAAAAAAAAGTTTGGTTAATGAAGCTTATAAAATTTATAAGGCTTATAATGTTTACTGATATTATTTTATATTATTTAATTAAACAGTAAAATTTGACTCATCTGCCTTCTATTTTATGAGTCATTACATACAATTTAGTCATAGCAAACTAGAAAAAAGTTCTCTAACCTTCATGTCTTAATGTTGTTGTAATAATACTATTTAATCATTGTAATGAATATTGAAACCTTGATCTTCATGCCCTGTTACTTTACCAATGAATTCCTACTTAAAAACTTTTTTAAAATGTTCAATGCATATAAACAGGTGAGAGTATATGTTTACAAATCTCTCAAATGTATATAAATTTCTAGAAAAGTATATACAGTGTATCAGAAACTGATCCAGATATAGTCTGATTATGAACCTGTAATAGCTGAAATTAAAACCTGTATGAAGGCTGGAAGTGGAATAAATGTTATGAATTATAAAACAGACCTAAATAATTTTCAAGCCAAGCAAATAAACATACAAATTTCTCCAAAATGTAGAAAAACTATTACAAAGTCACTTGACATAGGAAAGAAAAATATCTAGAAGATCATTTACCAGTAATTTTTAGGGTGCTTAGCTTAAAGATATATTTCATAATATCATTCTTCTAAGAAACCATTTTCAGCTATTTTTCCTTTATCAACAGCATGTAAAAGGCGAATAAACCAAGATAGATCAGTGGAATTTTAAGTTAAACCATATGATTACACTTCCTTTTTAATGGCACCCTGAATCAGTATCTGTAAAGAAAATGAAATTATGCATTCAAACAAAAAGTAGAGAAAAAACTCCCTGTGATACTGCCTTTTATTCCTCTACAGAGGAATATTTGATGCACTGCAAGCACACTAATAAGCAGCAGCATTTACTCTGCAGTCTTTCCTAGGAGACAATTTTGTAATTTGCTGCTGTCAATAATACATTAATCACAAGAGGGCTGTAATGATATTTCACATTTGGCACAATATTTTCTTAAAACTGATTTGGGAAAAGGGATTTTGTTAAAAAATAGTCAAGTAATGATAACAGGCAGCTTATCTAAAATATTCAAATTTTTGCATGATGTGAGCTACAACAAAGAAATTTGAGGTAAGCGGATATATAATTACTAAATTAAACTAAACCAGACAAAAACAGAATAAACAGTACTACTATTAAACAGCTATTATTCCACCTATGATCTATCTATCTATCTATCTATCTATCTATCTATCTATCTATCTATCTATCTATCTATCTGTTTTTCTTTCTCAATACTTGTCATTGAGCTCTTTGGAAAATCTTTGAGAACTAATATAACAGTGCTAAAGCCCTGAATGTTTAAGATATTATTGATTACATCATTTGCTGAAAAGATTATGTCCTTCTCTTCTTCCTCTTCTTCCCTGCCAATAAAGGTATATCATAGTCTCACCTTTATTGACACATTGTGCCTTGTGTATGACAAATTGAAACAAATTGAGAGAAGACATGTGCCATTTTTATTGGGAACATGTTGATCCTACTGCTTTGGTACACAGTTTTATAAAGTTTTATTTAAAACAAAAATGGACATTGTCAGAGAGTATCAGACACAGCTAGTCTTTGCTTAACAATGGTAACTGGGACCGACAACTCTGTTGCTAAGCAATATGGTTGCAAAGTATGTTGTCATGGGACCATGCTGACTTCTGATGGCAGTTGCAACAATTCAAAATGTGCCTTCATTAAGCAAATCTCACAAAATAGGTAGGCATGACACCACAAACTCACCACTGACCTACTGCCAGCTTCCCTATTGATTTTGCTTGTCAGAAATTGGCAATGAAGGTAGCAAATGGCAAACATGACCATGGGACATTGCAACTATCATAATTATGAACTGGTTGGCAGGCACCAGAATTGTGATCATGTGTCTGTGGGTACACTAACAGCAAAAATGATAAGAATTAGTCATTGGTTTCCTTGTTCAGCACCATCATAACTTTGAATTATCACTGAATGAGTGGTTGTTACAATTACAGAGCTACCTGTAACTATAATCTCCTCATTCTACCCTTGAGGCAGTAGAGGTTCTTCAACATAATTGTGCATGATCACAGTTGAAAAAGAATGTACTAAGTTTGAAAAAAGAAAATATGTGACTATCGTATATTCAGTAAAAATCAGGTTTGTATTAAAATACTATATTTATGTAAGAAAACAGATATGCCTAATATCTGAAATTCTTTAGGATTTCATGGTAAATCAAAATATTGTAAAACCAATCTCAGAGTTCTGGATAATCAAATTATCGAATTATTTTGCATGATATCTATTCACATATCTCAAAATTTATATTAGAGCAAACAAAACAAAACAAATTATTTGAAAAATTATTATTTTAAAAATAATTTAATACATTATAACCATTTAAGAATACTAAAATAGGTTCCACACATGGCAGAATGGCATCTTTTAATATTATGTAATAAAATCCCAACCATGAGATTTAGAGTATGTTTATCAGAGGCATCCTTTAGAAGTATAGCAAATTGGTGTGCTTTGCACAAAAACCCAATGGGTATGACTAAATGGCTGCCAGTTTTGCCTCCTAGACTGCTATCTTCATCCTGCTGGGCAGTTCTCTGCTAGATTTTCATCTGTTTTTCAGCTAGCCAGCACTATCTCTGGGGAAGTAGTAAATACAGAAGCTAAGTAGTAACTGATCCTTTCCCATATTCTTCTTTTGCTGCAATGGTGGAATGGCAGCTAGATGTCACAGCATTTTATTTCAGCAGGACAGGGAAATCCCAAGAACCAAGATGAAGAGAGCCTTTCCACTAATGAGGAACTGCACATCCAGCAGATACAGAACAGACACAGAAAATGTCTTAGCTTCTGAACTGAGCTAATGAATCCTTATGCCTTTTAATAAAATGTGATAGTCAGCAAACCTGCTACTAGGTTCTTTCTGATTTTTTCTCATTTACTTTACTACTGTTAACATAGATGTGCAATGACTTTTGAATTTAGACAGGACTCTTCCTATCCCTCCATATAGATTCTAGGATTAAACAGTGAATCTTTTGTATTTAAAGTATGAATTTGATAACTAACTGAATTATAAATTTTCCTTGAAGGTCTGCCTCATTTTTGTTAAGCGAAAAACAAGTTAAATCATATATTAAAAACCTTTTTTTAGTAAAGGTTTGCCTAAAAGAACATTAAGTTATGTAAAGAACTGATAATAAAAAATAATTATTATCTGTCTGACAGAGATCTTGTAAAAAAAACAGAACTGCATGTTTTATAACAAGTGAATGATTACACATATATGATTATATAACTATAGTTATTAACTAATGAGTAACATTCACTCTTTCAAATGCATTTTAAAAGTATTGTGTTAAAAAAATTGACATAAAAAATCAAATGATTCAGAAAGTCTTCATTAAAAAAATGTTGCAAAAAATGCTTGAGTAATCGAATATGAAGTTTTACTAATTGATAAAGCAAATAACTAGCTTGGTTCAAAGTTTTCAATAGATCAATATATTTTTCAAATATTTTGTTTCTGGAGCAGTGTTGTTTGATAACCTTAATGAAGACAGCAAGAATATACAAATTTAATATGAGAATTAAAAAGCAGTCTCCAGACAGATATGAAGATTCACACCATTTAAAATTCCAATTTTAACTTTTAATCTTTCAACTTACTTCACTATGCCAAATATAAACTTTTTTTGGGCAAGTGAAACTATTTTAATTCTAATTTTAGCACAGAATAAAAACAATAAAATTAAGCCCCCTATAAATTTATATTGTTCAAACTTCCCATTACAACTTCAACAAATTATATTTTGCTTTTTGTATAATTTAAAAATTAAGAACAAAAAGTTAATTTTGAAAATGGATGTCCAAAGTGCAACTGCCCAAAAAAAGACACAGTTTGAAATAATTCAGAGAGAACTGGAGATAAAACTGTAAATAATTTTTTATGTAATTTTTTTGTGATTGCAGCTACAATAACATGTCATATTTTGATCAGTCACAGCCACTGTAATCACTATAACAAGGATATCGCACATTTAGTCAAACTGAAGAAAAGAACAACTGAAATCATTGGTGGGTTACAGTAGCACTACTAAGAGAGAGATAATGTTTATCAGTATTTTGACCTAAGCAACTTCCATATGTGGGAATTAATTCCCAAAATTCTCAGTAACAGCCAAACTAATGCAAAAAAATTTGGAGTTGAGGTCCACAGATCTGGAAACAACCAAACTATTGAAACTATGGTTTAGAGCAAAGGCAAGTAAGAGGAGAAACTACAGGTACATAAAACTGTGCTAAGTATGGAAAATGCAAACAAGAGAAGTTTCTTTTGTGTTAGAATGTTGGGTCATCCAATGAAATAAAAACAAAGGAATGAGGAATAAAAGATACTTTTTATTCAACACATACTTAAATTACAGAATTTTGCTATTTTCTGGGATGGTGATTTATACAACTTTAGGGAAAGACTAGATAAATTAATGGAAGACCTATTATCAATGGCTGCCAGTCTTGATGACTGTATATTAGTTCCCGATTATCAATTGTTAGAATGTTTACAGTGCAAAATGGCTATTGCTCTGCTGTCTATACTTATAGGCTGTCCAAATGTCCCCAGTTGAATACTGTTATATAGAATGCTGGACTAGGAGAACTTTTGGAGGGATTCTACATTGTTCTTCTATTATTGTCTATTGCTACTGCCAACAATATAAATCTGTCCTCATCTGTCCTCAGAAACACAATGTGTATTTTTTGTTTGTAATATTTTAATGGACCATAGACAACTTGATTAAATAAATATGCACTTGAACTGAATATGTTAAATAGAAAGGGAATGTGTTTCTAGGATATGATGTGCTGTTGATCCAATGAAAGGAAAAAGCCCTTGGAAACAGAAAAAAATAAGTAAACACTTTATTCTGAAATACTCCAAGGCCCATTGTTTGAAAAGAACTTGCCTAAGCAATCCTAAATTGTTTAACAATAGAATTGTGCAAAGCATTTGAAAGAAATATTTGAAAACATACATTAGTGTGTATGAAGCATTTCTCTCAGACTTCTTACAGAAGTTGTATCTTTTGCACAAATCGCACAACTCCTAGAAAAGAGTTCCTTGTCATCTCACACACATGTGTACACATGGTCATTTCACTTTATAGTAGGTTCTTTGGAAATATTGTTTGTGCAAACATAGATAACTGAGAACAGCTTTTGAAGCATAAACCTTGCACATTTGAAGAGTGGTGTTTCATTCATACTAATATGCATTGTGAAGCATCTCCTTCAAATGCTTTGCATAGTCCTACTCAAGAACATTTCCGCTGTATTTTTCCTCTTTGGGTTTCATCATTCTAAAGAAAACATTAAAAATGTTAAGAACATTCCTCAAAAATTTTGCACAATATTTAGTAAGAGATATAAAAAAGGTATCTCAAAATACCTTTTTTGCTAATTGTTAAAATGCTGACAAATGAACTTTTTATCATTGCAATAATGGTGCTTTGTGTATCAGTTTGCTAAATCAAGACATATGAGCAAAAATATACCAGGAATTGCATTTTGATTTATAAACATTTTTGGGTGCTTGGAAGATAAGGGTTTTTGTATCTTGGAATATACTCAATATTGATAGCTTGACCTAATAGAGGCATATGCATCCAGACTGAGTATATGCTGTAATAAAATAGAGAAATAAAAGTAAAATGCAGAACAGGCATCACAAACATGATGGTATCCCTCTCAAATTTTCAGCTTATCTTGTCATTCTTCTATAATATTTCTATAATATAATACTAAAATCTTGCACTCACAGGAAAACTACAATTGCAGGGATTTTTTTCTACTTTTATTCTTTCATGCTATATTGCATTTTATGGGATGTAGTTCCTCCACTACCAATAGAGGCACTGACCTGGGAGAGAGGGCATTCTTTGGCTAACGTGCTCTGATTCATCTCTTTGAGCAATTCCTTTAAGGCATTGCGGACTGTGGCATGGTTCCACTGTTCTGCTGGCAAATCTTCTAGCTTTGAACAACTGCAAAGACAGAGAACATGAGAATAGACCGATGGAAAGTATTGCATGCAAACATAGCTGTTCTTTACATGCAAAAGCTATGTTGCTCTGTAAAGCCAAACACAACTAAGAACAGGACATACATATTTTATATGTCATTCTTGTATACAGTTTAGAAATTTCTTCCAGCTACAATCTAGAATCTAGGAAGATTTGAACATAAATAACTAAATACAGAACTGAGCAAATATTTATGTTTCCTATCATTGGCTGAATAAGTTCTCGACAATTATGCCTTAGCAGATTGCAACATAAGGACAAGGGCCTTTGAGCCCAAATTTTATTCCTGGATTTCTGCTTAAAACCTCAAAACCTTTCTAAACTATATATTTCTCAGGTAGAATGTGTAAACATTTAATCGGGCCTTATGGAATTATTGTACCTGTGGAAAAATCTTTTTTAAAGACTGACTACATTAGTCTGTATTCCAATGTCTAGTTAAAAAATCACCAAGCAAAAACTGCCAGTTGCAATTCCCTTCTTATATTGTGCTTCCCACTTCAAAATGAGCTCAGAAATTAATGAAGATAGCATGTGTTAATCTCAGTAGTAATGGTGTGATTGACAGAACAACTCAGGATTAGAAAAGGGCAGATGTTCAGAAGTGCCCACCTCTGTAATTGAATTTTCAGTGTCACAACATGATAGACGTCTTGTAACATGTCAGCTACTGTTGCATCAGGTGCATCTGTCATATAAGTTAATGGAAGAGGATTCCATTTCCCAAGTTTGATTATTCCTGCAAATAAAAAAACATGAAATAATCATAAACACATATTTCTATCTATATATTTGTATCCAAACCTATATCTAGGAAGTTTACCAATTATTTTATATTTATTACAATAGCAGAATATTCTCAAGAACATTTATTGTAAGTATGGAGAGTCTAAAGTTGGGCAGCTTGCAAATCTAATTTTATAACCTGAAAAGTCCTTTAAATATATAATTTTGGTTTTGAATTAAAAAGAATCTAAAAAGTACTGGCTCTTCATGTTTAATATAATATACTACATTGACTGACAGTGGCTCTCTGAGCTATTTGAGAATAACAACGGAATCTAGTTTAATGCAGGCTGTATATACTAGGCCTATACTTCAAATTCAAACTCCAAAAAAGCATGCCACTGTTCTGGGGCACAAAAATAGTATCTGGTTGCAAGACAGGTGTAATATTTGTGCTTCCATTCATTCTAAAGCATCTTTATGGAAACAAATCAAAAGTGCTGCATACTCCTTTAGAACAGGTTACTAAACATTTGCTGGACCAGAACTGTTATGGAAAGGCTGCTAAAGAGAAGTATTTATTGCTTGACACAGAATGCCTAAAACATATCACAAAGAGAACAGAAATGTTAAAAACATGCCATTGTTTCGGTATTAAGAATTCACAATCTGGTGCTAAACATGCTGCAGTATAAATAGAGCCTATACTCTTATCATGCATTATAACGTACAAAGCTCATTCGTTGTACCATATGTCTTCAGAGCTGGCTCTTTATGTTGTATTCCCCTTGCCAACAAAAAAGTTGCTTCTCTTAAAGGGGATAATTTCTAGAGGTTATATAATTACAGATGAGGAACCCTTAAGACCTGTTTTTGATACTTACTTGGGAGTAAAATTAACTGGAGTTGTAATATGTACTATATTTACTATATATTTACTATAATTGATGGAATATGAAAAGTGAGAAATGGATAACAAGCACAGCGAAACTTCTCTCCAGTCAAACCTAGTTTATACTCAAGTAATATTCCAGGGTAAAATATAGTTGTATAGTTTGGTGTGGTATGTGAACTCAGTGTGATTAGTTTATGGTTCAGTATGTCTGGTTAACTGGGCACAGGGTTAATCGAGTAAATCATACTTCAATTAACTATGGCTTAGTCGGTTGGTTTAACAGTCATTGTAAATTAAGTCACCTTAAACAAATCCGACACAACATTAGGTCATAAAAAGAAATTCTACTTCAAAAACCAACAGTGGCCATATTGGTCATTAGATTTACCCAAAAAAGCAAGTGGAACCTTAAATAGTTCAGATCAAATTTTAGAAAATTGCCTTAAGCTTTCAAAATGCTAGAATTTTCATCAGGCAAGAAAGCTAGAGGAACAAAATTTCAGGTGTCAGAAATATGGCTGATAATGGAGACATGTCAACCAAGTTACACTGAGAATGAATAAAAAATCTTGAGTCAAATAAATAGGATCTTGTAAAGCACAGTTTTTCAAACTTTTCCAAGCCACAGAATGTGTTTAAAAAATTCCTGGGATCTCTGTTCAACAGGCAAAACTCTAGTGTTGGAAAATTGGCTGCACACAGGTTATCTTTTTTTCCCCTTTCTTTTCCTTGTTCTCCCCCACAAATTTTCAAACACAGTTTGAAAAATCCTATTATAAGGAACAAATAGTGTTAGACTGCAATTGTGTTACAACCACGGTTGTCTCTACTTTCTTAAAAATGAAGAAATTGTCCTGGCAAACAGTCCAGAAACACAGGTGTTACCATAACGCTCAGTGCTTTTGCACATAAACACCTGCTGCAAGTCCTTTTTGTTACAGTGCTGCAGACATGCACTTTTTTTAGCGTTATTAGTTATGGATGAACACTTCTTAGCTCTCTTTGATATTCAGTTTTGTCTAGTTCCAATATCCTGCTATTTTTGAAAATAATTATACCTGGAGAAAGACACTATATTCTATCTTAAGAAAATACATGCAGAGCATGTTCAAGGTAAAAACTGATGTGCGAAATATCAAGTCATTACTCTTCTTGTTTGCCTACTGTCCGCAAACTTAACATCTGACTTTCCAGGATATTGCTTGCAAAATTGTACTGTAGGCATGCTTCATATAATACTTTGAAAATATGGCCGGGAATTATTGCTTAAAGTAGAAAGAAGAAAATAAAAGTATTGATTCTTCTTAGGGCACAGTCAGATACTCATAATGAAGTGCAACCCACTAATTCTTGACCTGCCAGAAAAATAAGATGGCACAGAATTTGATTCTCCAACAACTTCTCAATAAAGAGGTTGTCAGGTGATGTTGTCCTTATAGTTATAATGCAGGAGAAGTTAAGGATTGTAATTTGTGCATTTCTCCTTCTATAATGGAAAGAAGGAAGAGCTGATACCAAGACAATGTCAGATAAAGAAAATCTGAGTCTGGGACAAAACTGTAACCCGACAAAGCTTCTCAGGCAAGACCCTCCTTAACAAAGATAAAAGGAGGGAGAGGGAAAAATGCATTCACACTTAAAGGATTCTGCTCTTATAATCTTATAATAAAAGTAGTATTAGACTGCATAGGTTTGGCTTCCTATTCCAGTCTACGTCAAAGGGCTGAAACCTTCTCATGAAGCATCAACTGTCAGCAGGAAAATCAAATCCAAATCACTCTTACTGGCTTTATGGTGAGTTGGTACTGGGCAAGTGTAAGCAAGAGATTCAAACAGCAAGTTTAGTCATCTGTCATCTTGTTGAAATAGGTTATTTCTGAACACGGGTTCAGTGTTCAAAAGCCTGTTAAACTCATGTCCCAAAAAATAGGTTGACAGGTTGAAAGCAGCACAAAGGGACATAGAATCAATTGGAAAACTCCCCTTACAACTTCACCTTGTGCTTTTCCTCTGCATCTGACCAGCCAGAAATGTAGAAATGGGGTATTGTCAAGTTTTCTTAACAAACTAATTGGAAATAGGCACCATAGGCATTCATGCGGACAAAAGCTTCTGACAGGTAGAATTACTATAGAAAATCTAATGAAGCTATTACGTATGAAAGAATTGTACAACCATACAGCCATCTCCAATCATTTTTGCCCACCCAGTACATTCATCCAAAGTGTACTCCAGGTCCCCTAAATTAATTGTTGCCATGTTGTGGGACTGAAGAAGCATGTTTTCAGTCCACTGAAATAGCATCCTCCCCATAGATACAGGTGGCATCCAGCCTTAGCTGGATTAAGATGTTTGTGCAATCCCTGTCATGTTTTTGTACACTTTTTTACAGATTGTCCTTGACTTACAACTAGACATTTAACAACCATTCAAAATTACAACAGACTTTTAAAAAGCTACTTGAAGCTGTGACTGCCGCCCCCTCCCATGGTCATGTGATTGACTTTCAAGTGCTTAGCAACTGGCTCGCATTTAGGACTATTTGCAGCATCATACAATCACTTGGCTATGATTTGCAATGCTTTTTGCCACTTTTAGCAAAAAATGCCTATTCAGAAGAATGGATTTGCTTAACAAAAATGTGATTTGCTTAACAACCATGTGGTTCACTTTACAGCTACAGTGACTCACTTTACAACATTGTAAAACAGTTGTAAAATCAAGCTGGTCACATAGCACCTCAACTTATCACCACAACAACTTACAATTGAAATTACTGTCTTCATTGTGATCATAAGTCAAAGAGTATATGTACTGTCTTTTTTCCCAATTTATAGGCTGAAGCAATAAAAAAAATCCATACTGTACAGCACCTCCAATTAAACAGAGAACATGTGTGAGTTTTGTACACAACAAAGCTATCTGACATTATTTATCCCCAAATAAGCCATTTTGATTTAATTTTCATTTACCCAAGAAGTTGAGTATCAGATAGAAAGACCGTCAAAACATCAAGTCCTACTGCAAATAGTCCTGAATAAAAATGGTTCTTCTATTTATAATGTGGGTAAACTATACTTACATTTAAGGAAACATGTATTAGAAACTCAAATGTTACTACAAACTTTTTAAAAAAGAAATCTCTGAACTTGAGATAGGAATGGAATGAATCAGACTTCATTAATGGAAAACTTAGAAACCAGGCAAAGCCAGATTTGCCATACCTAATGTATAGACATACCTAATAGGTATTCCTGAAAATCAAACACCTGGTTTACCAATTTAAAAATCAAAGGAAATTATGGCTTGCTATTGGAAATGGAAGGGAGGATACATGAACTTATAAGCACAGTAGATTACACTGACTGACACTGCATTAGAATGTCACAGAGAATTTATAAGTCAAAAGTATACATATCATTGTTCTCAAGACAAATGTACAAGTCAAAGCCAAGCCACGGTACAGACAGAATATATAGCAAAACAGAGTGGCTCTTAATAGACAATGCTGCATGCTCTCCCCTTATCTATTCAACCTATATGTTAAAAATACATTAAGAGAAGCTGGATTGGAAGATGAGTGTGGTGAGGAAAAAACATCAATAACCTGCACTATGCATATGACACTAATGCTGAAAATGCAAAAGAACTACAAGGACTACTAATAAAAGTCAAGGAACATCGTAAAAAAGCAGGACTAAGATTTAAAAAAAAGATTTAAAAAAAATCAAGCAAATCAAGTACAACAACCACCCTTAAAATTGATATTTCCTTGATTAATATATTGAAGTGGTAGACAGCTTCTGCATTTTAGGATCAATCATTAACAGTAAAGGAACAGTCAACAGCAGAACAGTCTGCTGCAGACTAGCAATTGGTAGAGTGGCCATGAAGAAAAATGGGAAAAGTTGTTCAGACACCTTGATGTGTCTATACCAGTGATGGCGAACCTATGGCACGGGTGCCAGAGGTGGCACTCAAAGCCCTCTCTGTAGGCATGCGCTCCATCGCCCCAGTCCTAGACCTTCAGGTGGGTTTTATAAAACCTTTTCGCTTTAGGCCTCCGCTGCCATGTGCAAAAAAAAAAAAAGGGTTCAATCAATCAGTCAATTTCAACT